TTAGGTGATTAGCAAATAAAATCACGAGATGATCAACAAAATCTAACCAATTACAATGAATGTTCGCTATGCTGATGAAGCCTGGGATGTATAAAAGATAATAATGGTGGTATCAAAAAAAGTGTCATAATTGTAAATGCTATGCTTTTAAAAGATTCTAATATCCTTATGCATGTAACATTCCTAATTTTTATTAATTTTTATTATAAGAATAGTTAATTATAAGAAATTTTTACAAAAAAAAACATACATATACCTACTTCGCCAACAATAATGTTAGCAACTGGAATTGCAATAATATCAGATAAAGTTTTATGCGGGTTACTAATAACCTTCGGTTCTAACAATAAAAAAAAAAACTTTCTTTTAAATATCATATGAGAAACTTATAAGTAAAGGTTTAAAAACTTACCAACACATTCACCTATATTAAGATCTATAGCTTCAACAATATTTTTTTGTAGTCTACTTATAAGATATTTTAATTTTCCAGTGAGATAATCTCTTATTATTTTATTATTTTTCTCAGAATTCGCACCGTTCTTAAATATAAGATGTGTCGGCACTTGCTAATTTTAAAATTAAAAATTTAAAATAATAATCTAATTATTGTATTCGTTAAAGATTTTTTAATTACCATTCTAAAGCCTTCACGAAAACTAAATTCTTGATCTTTTTTTAATACTTCGTGTGACGTTTCCTTTCCAACTACAGTCATTATTTGGCCAAAGACATATAGTGAAAATGTCTCTCCATATTATTAAGAGATCATAAATTATTAAATCACAAAAGAAGAAATATTTATTTTATTTCATTTATTTTACTCAAAAAGAAATAAAAACCTTTTCTCGAGATTCTAATATTAACTTTTCACAGTTCGTTAAAAAGCTCCATGTATGTCCGATAATTGGAAATCGATAATAAGCAAGAGGTGGTTCATTCTAAGAAAGGTAACATTTATATTAACAACATAATATAATTGTGAATAAATATTAATGTAACAAAAAAAACTTGCTAGTTTGGTCCGCCTCGATAGTTTGAAAAAAACTACTGCTAAAATTAATCCTATAATAAATGATTGAATATAAATATTTTCTAAGAAGAGTTCAATCATTTTATTTTTTTTCTCAAATTACAGTATTATCGTATGCTAACTTGGGTGTTAATCAAGATTTTATTTTCTTAAATACTGAAATAATTTTTAGATTTATTCTCATAAAAAACCGGAGAACAAGTTCCTTGATCCCAAATAGGTATACTGTATCAATTATTATCGTTATGCTTACTATCGCTATGTGACAGTGTTGTCATGAGACAACACTGGCAAGCACATTCTAAAAATAGCATGGCAAATCAAATCGCGCATCGGCTACAGTGACGGATAATTATTAATAATCATAAAAACAACCTGGAGATCTTTTTAATTTATGATAAGTAAGATAGATTAGATTCAACTTGACTCAGCCAAGTTAGAACTAAAACGATATATAGCGAACGCGGTTATTTACTGCTCTTTCTTGATATATATGTTTTACGTCATATTGAAATTTGTGTCAGAACAAATTTTCAATACTGGGTTTTATTAGGTTGGGGTGAAGCTCTATGTCAGGGTAAGAGTAGATATTGGCTGCATTATAATTATTTTGTTTTGACGCATATTTTTATATATATTTATATTTATATTTTTTACCAAAAATGTTACGTTTTTTTTAAAGGTGTCCCAGAAATATGAATTATATTAGTCTAATTTTGATTTGAAATGTTTTTATGTGTTAAGTGTTTTGGGTTTTTAATCTGTGGCCCTATAATAAATAGAATTTTTGCGGAGGCAACGGAGAAATAATTGAAATATTCGTGACAAAAATTTTTTATAGGGCAGTTATGTTTGAAATTAGAAAGTGGGACTAATTATCGAAAATTGGTTGATATTAAGCTAAACTGGATTGGATTTAGTACAGTTTTACCAATTTTTATTATTATACATTTCGTTTGTTAAACTATACGTTAGTTAATAGTATAAGTTGTACGGTTCAGGAAGGAAGTGATGAATATCACGAAGTATATGGTTATACGGCAATTGAATGATGCTACTTCACAAAATCTTGCATTGTATAAAGGCGTGAGTGCAGATTTGATTTTTTCACATGCAACTTCGTCACCGGTGTTACAATCAATTTGTAAAATTAGTGTAAATCGGCCTTTGTAACGTACGGAGTTCGCCAGGGCGACCCCCAAAAGTCCGGATCAGCTGATCTGCGACATAGCCACTGCATAATTTCTTAAAAAATTATTGAATCGTTTAGCTCCTACATTGTTGTGAAAATTTCTTAAACACTGTATATAACAAAGCATGTATAAATATGTATGTACGTACATATACTGTTATTAAGATATGGCGGTGGCACGCGGATCACCTGATCCGGACTTTTGGGGGTCGCCCTGGCGAACTCGTAACGTACGTACGTATGTACGTACGTACGTACCGTACAGTCATAGGCAGACATTCGTATGATTGGCTGTTTAAATCAATTTAATTTTACATTATTTATACAGTTTAAAGTACTTT